TACGAACCCTGATAACATACCATATAAGAATGAACTTACTTAAAATAATGTTATAATACTCGAGAAAATAATTAACATTTTATTAATATTTCTTTAATTTTGATTTTAAGATGTATATTATATGGTATTTTTTAGCATTTGGAATTTCTTTAACTTGTAAAAAATGTCACTTTTTTCTTTTATTATATAAAGCTGCATAAGCATGGTTATATTTTACATCATTATTCATACAAATCAGTTTTGCACAAATAGCAAAGATTTAGATGAATATTCATATCAAAAGCTTTATAGTGATAATAAATTTATATGCATAAGTTCTTATGAGATGGTTCATGTGAATATATTTTTTAGGCTGATTTACTAATTCATGTATATATTTTAAAGTTTATTTTCAATGAATTTACCAATTATTGCAACATACATTCAGAAAAGCTTCACAAAGCTAGTTGATGTAAACATCAAATATTTCTTGAATCTATATCTAAGATTTATAAAAGACAGAAAATTATCACATGAATACAATCATGCTTGTCAATTTGTATGTCATTTACCTGATTAAATAAAAAATAGAAGAAGAAAAACCAGGATTACTGTGCAAAATGCTTAACAATTTCAAGATTTAGCAAAGCGTCAACACACATTGTATTAATGGATTTATTTTAATAAAGAAAAAGTAATGGTAAATTGATTGCATGCTGTTATTGTATATCGTGAAATTATATCCAAAGGATTGGCTTTTGCAAAGCATTGTAAAAGGTGAAAATAGTATTTTATTAATGCATTCACCATCATTGTAAAACATGATTATATGGAATAATAGTATTAAAAGAATGCCTTCCTGAATATGTTACAACTTGGATTGTGGTATATTCTTAAGTTGTATATTCAGTCATCATGATTCAGAAATATTGAGAAATTGATTTTGATTATCTGTAGGAGAATCCAGAACCTTGCCGATGTATTGGTGTATTTGGGTTGAGTCTCTACACAAAGGAAAGGGATTTGAAAGAAGTTTTCTCCAAGTATGGTACAGTGGAAAATATTCAAATTGTCTATGATCGACAGGTTAGTTTGCTTTCTAATTCCTAAAATGTAAAAGTAACTGAATGCCATGTTTGTCTAGTGTTTAGAATGGCTTAACCATTTCTATTTTACCCACTTTCATAGTTTAAAAAAGTTAAAAGTATACAGGGTTTCTCAAGCATAACTTTGATTTTAAATAATTTAAAATATACATATATATATATATATATATATATATATATT